TGGTGAAACTGCAAATTTGTGGTCCAGTCTAGGTCATAGAAACCCCCTTCTTCCAAGTTAATTCTGGTTGGGCTTTCAAGTTTTTAATAGACTCATAGTTTCCTGATTCCTAAAGGCATAAAAAAAGTCTGCCAATTCCTCCAACAGAAGTTTTCAAAATTTGCCAAGCTGACCCAGGATGCTGATTTTGACTATGGCTCAGGACATTGTAAGGAAGATGGAGCCAGGTTTCAGAGGCAAGGAAATGAACTTTTAAAGAAAACCTTGACCAAGCAGTTTTCTTAGTTTGAATGAAGGTGGCTTTGCAACCCAGCAGCTCATGCTTTGAAAGGCATGTCTATATCTTATAACAAGTCTATAATGCCGGGAAAGGTAGAAGAAAGGAGGAAGAGAAAATAAAGAGCAGCAAAGTGGACAGACTCAATTACAGCAGTGGTGGGAGGACCATTGGAAGATCTGAAGGCCCAGGCTGGGGACAGATCATCTTGGAGAAAATCTATCCATGTGGTTGCTAAGAATTTACACCAACTTGATCAATTGATCAATATCTTATAAAGGAATGAGATGCTATGCACACTTGCCTGATACTATTTTTGTGGATTGTATCCAAAGAAGCATTGTTGGTTTCAGAGCTGGCTTTTTTGTCCAGGTTCTGGAAGCGCTCACGAGCTGTGAGTCCCCGCTGGGAACTTTGTTTGGGGATGTCCAGTTTCCCTCCAAAGCTCAACGCTCCCTGCTGTTCGTCGTACATGAACAGCATTGGGTAACAGTCATGCCCCTGGAGAAAGAGAAGTCAAGGCCATGTCTCAAAAGACAATTGCAAGGAAGTTCACTCATACAATTATTATGAGTTGTGGTTGGGGTAGGGCTACCCCAAATTAGTGTCCTCCAGATGTGGCTGTACTACAACTCCCAAATGTGTCATTCCTGGGGATAAAGGATGTGTCGTTCAGTACAGCTGAGAAAGGATTACATTGTGCTTCAAATATTTTTATTTATTTTATTTATATATGCCACTCAGGAGGCTAGATGAAAGCAGTCTGGTTGCTCCTCAGCAGAAACAGAAGGGGACCTACTCTACTTTTCACAGATTCATCCACATGTGGTATGGTGCCATCTACTGGCTAAACCTTAAAATGACATTATCCACCCAGCACAGATGATTGCTTGCCCATTTCCCCAAATGAGGAATGTGCCACCAAAAGACAGAACAAGCAAGCAAAGAGCTGCTTATAACTTCTTGCTATAATTTCAATGAAGGCACAGTAATTCTCATTATACTGTGGCACGGATGTCCACAAGGTAGGATCGAAAAAGTCAAAGGGCAGCCACAACAGTGTGATGAAGGCTCTGCCTGTTTTTTATGTGCGTCCAAAAAAAAAAAACCTGGCAGAGCTTCAATCACACCATTGTGCCTACTATCTTGACTTTTTTGATCCTACTGTGTTTACAACTGGGAAAAAGTGACTTGATTTGTTGCTCAGTCTGCCAGCCAGGTGGCCAAAAGTGGAGGGCAGCTTCACATCCCTTGTTCCTTTCTTTTCTAATTTCCAGCCAGGCAGTCCTTCCAACAGAGGATGGTCCCTTTTATCGGCGAGCCTGTCCTTGCAAATAATTTTTTTGATGCAAATTCATCTACGGTTCAGTTAAACTGCCATACTATTCCTCTACATGGGAATCTTTCATGGGAAAATAAACCTAGCGAGAGAGAAAATGCATGACTTACTGCAGCTACAAGACTCTTCTCCGTGATGAAGGTCACAGCCAGGAGGGGTAGAGTCTCCGTAGAAAGGCAGGCTACACTGAGGGGAGAAGCGAATCTTCAGCCAGATCTTTGGTCTTTGTTTCAAGCATGAATGTGAAAACTCCAGTCATGGATTGACTGATTTCATTCAAATCATCAGTGACCATGCATCAGTGGTCTAAACCAGGGTTTCTCAACCTTGGCAGCTTTAAGATGTGTGGACTTCAACTCCCAGAATTCCCCAGCCAGCCATGCTCTGAGGAACTCTACATGACCCATGTGATTTTTTTGGTCTACCCATGTCAGATAAACATTAATTATTTAATTATTTTAAGATTAAAATAATTTTGTCTGGATGTGTTTCCCCCTCCCTCCATCTTCATCTTCTCCCTCTCAAATTTCATTTCTTCCCCCGACTCCAATTTTTTTTTTCTTACCCTTTTTTTTGTTGTAGGTCTTCCCCCCCTTTCCCC